GTAATTTAAATTTCTTTTTACAATTTACCTAAAATCATCCAATTCTTCCATAATTTTACATTATACAGTAATAAGAATGTTCTAAAAAAAAGAAATGCTTTGAAATAAATTTTTGATAAATATTTAAAGAAATTATTGTTGCTGAATATTAACTTTTTGCATAATGCAACTAGACAAAGAAAGGCTGTTTATTCACCTCTTATTTTTTTTTTCGTCTGAAAAATGTTTACACTTTTCTTATCAACAACTTGAAAGAGAAATATTTTTATACAAACAAATGTATTATTTTTTCTTTGAAAAAGTACTAATTTTTTTATTTATGGATGGTAATTGTTGTGAAATTCAACTAAATAAATATTTAAAATGAAAATGAACGAAATTTAGTGGAAAGTCATTTGAATCTATACCATTATTAACCTTAAAACTACAGGGGAAAAAATTGTGTAAGTATATTTAATAGAACGAATTTAAAAAATTTTTTAAGTAAACTTTTAGAGTTGTACACTGAAAACAATTTATTTGATTCAAACAACCTGCCACTTGACTATTATGTCAAATAAATATTTAATTAAAATAAGTAATATTGTAGTAATTATTAAATTAATTAAAAATAATATAATTGCATTACTAAAAAAAATACAAATTAATATTTATTTGATAAAAGCTAATCAAATAGTCCATTAATCACTGAAAAAACCTAGTTTCAAATTGAGTATGAATAAAATTCCATATTTAATTTGATAATTATCCCAGTTTCATTTTTGCTGCGAATCAAATTGAGTATGGAATTTATACTTAATTTGAAACCAGGTTTTTTCTGTGATATTTAATGATATCAAATTTTTTAATCAAATAAATTTTTGATTCAATGCAAAACGTAAAAGTTGAAAATAAATCATTAAAATAACTACTCTTTTAAACATATAAGACACGTACAAATTTAGGATAAATAAAGCATTAATACACTAATGTATTAATATTACTATATATAGATGTACATTACATTAACTTAGAGTACATGTATTTTAAAGTTAATATACCGTGGTATATTAAAAGTATATTAAATTTACAAACATCAGGATTAAGACACCAGTATATTAATATTACCACAAAAAGGTATCTTAATATAATTCAAAGTACAGTTTCTTAAATTTAATATATATTGGTATATTAAAAATGTTGTAAATTTACGAACATTTTTAACAGTGTACGTGTAGATTACAGGAAGAATATAGTGAACCCGATTGAAAGTCACTGTCACGAGCTAGAGAGGAAAGAAATCGAATTTTTTCGAAAAAATTGCGAAAAATGACTATGTCCCCCCCTTAACTTCAGATTTTTAAAAATGTTTGTTTATCTTTGCAGGTTTACAAAACCCTCGATTTAGTGCGAGGGTAACTCCCACTTGCCCATTTTTTTAGTTGACACATATAGATATTCTATGATAGGGTCAACTAAAAACATGGATGTGGTATCCATAAATATGGATATCCTGTATTTATCAATATATGTGACCTGGACAGTTAAAAGGGACCTCTCGTCCGAAATCAACTTTTCGAGAAAAACGACTTCAAAGTTAACAAGTCAAAAATGATGCTCCTGCCCGTTGAAATGGCTTGAAACTTGTTACTCGGGGGTTTTTGGGATCGCTGATTACGAATCTGCCATCACATTTCCAGAAATTCAAAATGACGGAACTAATATGGCGGACATAAAAATTAAAATTTCATCGGATTTGCTTCAAACTTGTTACTTGGGGGTTTTAGCGGTTGCTGATTACGAAACTGACATCGGATTTTCAAAATTCAAAATGGCGGATTCAGTATGTTGGAAAATTCGAAAAGTTGATTGTATTTACTTGAAATTGGTTACTTACGGGGTTTTTTTATCGCTGTGTACGGATGTGAAATGAAATTTTTTAAATTCAACATTTACGGATTTGTGTTGTCTTAAAAATATTATTGTTGGTTCAGTGGGATTTTTGTGTCAAGCTGAAAAAAAATTTGTTTGTACATAAAAATTATTGTGGATTTTACGAAACAGCTCAGTTTATAATTTTTCTGTAACTTGTAAAAATGTTGTTCGTAGTCTTATTAGTTCATTTGGAAATCGCGAAGTGTACAATTATTTATCATTTCGGCGCATCTTGGATCCGACAATATGAATTTTGAAAAACTAACACCGGAATCAAAATCAGCGACCCCAAAACCTCCTGAGTAACGAGTTTCAAGCTAATTTGATCAATTTTTCTACACCTATTTTCTCCCGATTTATTTTTATCGATTTTTTTAACCAATCGGGTCCATCTTTGAAGCGCATTAGCAAAAAAACTAATGAAGCTAGAGATGCGCGGTTTGTTGCATTGAAAATAGCACCTCTTTTACTGTAAGAAACAACCAAAAAGTGAAAATCGATTTCTTCGGACCAGAGGTCCATTTAACTGTCCAGGTCACTTATATGGTTGTCCCATCCCCTGTGATTCACATAAGCAATATGTTAAATAATTTAAATTAAAAGCCTTTTGCTCTTAATGTTATGTAATTTATGAAGGCTTCTAAAGTTGTCTTAACGGAATCACGCACAAAAAAACTTAGCAAATTAGACTTCCCAAAGAACATTTGAATACAATTCCCTAACTGTTACAGAATTGTACTATAATAATTATAGAACTAATCTGTAATAGTTATGAAATATTTTTTTTGTTTTACTGGGATTAAAAGAGATAAAGAAACATGTATTGCTTTATAAAAAACTACATGGAAAAAACGGCATGGATGGGACAACCATATATATTGTTAAATACGGGATATCCATATTTATGGATACCAAATAAATTTTTTTAGTTGACCCCACCATAGAAATAGATGTGCCAACTAAAAAAATTGGGCAAGTGATGGTTACCCTCGCACTAAATCGAGGGTTCCGTACACCTGAAAAGATAAACAAACATATTTAAAAATCTGAAGTTAAGGGGGGGACATGGTCCTTTGGCAATTTTTTCGAAAAAATCCGATTTCTTTCCTCTCTAAATAGTGACATCGGGTTCGCTATATTTTTCCTGTAATCTACACGTAAAAGAGCATATGCATACCAATTTTCAGCTTCCCAGATACTCATTTGCAAAAGTTAAGGGGGGGGACATGGTCATATTTTGCAATTTTTTCGAAAAAATCCGATTTCTTTCCTCTTTAGCTCGTGACAATGACTTTCAATCGGGTTCACTATATTCTTCCTGTAATCTACACGTACTAACACGTATGCATACTAATTTGCAGCTGACCAGATACCCATTTGTGGAATTTAAAGGGAGGGACATGGTCATTTTTCGCAATTTTTTCGAAAAAATCTGATTTCTTTCCTCTCTTGCTCGTGATAGTGATTTTCAATCAAGTTCGCTGTATTAAAAAATATTTGTATAAAAGAAAAGTAAATCACGATTTATATTAAAATCTTCAAACTGTTACTACAGGAATACAATTAAAGGCTCATAAATGAATAAGGTCTTAAAATCTTTGTTTTTTATCCTCTATTTAGGAATTTATTGTTTTTTACTTTCGTCTTGGGCCGGGCTAGATATTTTCATAAGAAAGCGCTCAGTTCAATCGAATCTCCACATTATTAGTTGTAGTCGTGGCACACTAATGGGATAGTAAATTTTTTTTTATAAAACATATGAGGCAAAATTCCTGAAATGTCCGAACAAAAAATTAAAAGTTCTCAAATTTAATCCATACTTTTCTAAAATGTTGTTATTGTTGGTGAAAGTCTAAAAATCAAATATTATTGAATTTAATAAAATATTTTTTGAATTACAACGTTTTTAATTTTTGACTTTTGAAAAAAAAAAAATTGTTTTTAATGTACAATATTTATAAGTAGAATGCATAAAAATTAACATATATATAATGATTTTTAAAGCTATTTTGACGGGCTACACGCTGTTAATAAAATTTTTTTTTTAAATAACATTTGACCTTGAAATTCAAGGTCAAAATGTTAATTTACGTTTATCTCAAAATCGGATTTTTTAAAATTATTTTTAACTATCTCAATGGAAAGCTAGACTAATTTCCTACAAAACATGTAATTTTCAGAGTGGGATCTTTTAAAGTTTTTGAGATATTAATTAATTAATTAATTAATGTTTATAACAAATCAAATATTTTACAAACGAATAAAGTTACCGTAATTCTGAAGTTAGTAATTGAAAGTTAACGTAATTCCGCTTCCAACGAGCCCTATATGAAGTATTTTGGATAAGTAGATTGTTAATAAACAATTAGTTAACATTGCAATTGTTTATTAACAATCTACTTATCCAAAATACTTTATGTAGGGCTCGTTGGATGCGAAATTACCTTAACTTTCAATTGGTAAGTTCCCAGCATTACCATAACTTTATTTGTTTGTGAAATATTTTATTTTTTATTGTTATTTAACTAAAATTCAACAAAAATACTTCATATAGGGCTTTTGGATGCTTGTTGTTAGTAAAAAATAAAATATTTTACAAACAAATAAAGTTATGGTAATACTGCGAACTTACCAATTAAAAGTTAAGGTAATTCCGCATCCAACGAGCCCTATATAAAGTATTTTGGATAAGTAGATTGTTAATAAACAATTGCAATGTTAACTAATTGTTTATTAACAATCTACTTATCCAAAATACTTTATATAGGGCTCGTTGGATGCGGAATTACGTTAACTTTCAATTACTAACTTCAGAATTACGGTAACTTTATTCGTTTGTAAAATATTTGATTTGTTATAAACATTAATTAATTAATTAATTAATATCTCAAAAACTTTAAAAGATCCCACTCTGAAAATTACATGTTTTGTAGGAAATTAGTCAAGCCATTTTTTGACATTTTTGACTGCAAATAATTCCTTAAAACAAAATGTGCCACGTCTTCGACTAATTTGAATGGAATAAATATTGAATATATTGTAAGGTTTATATGTGAGAAAGCATGCATTCCTGTTTGCAACTGTACCTGTATTTCTTTTTCCTTTTTTTAACCAACTTAAATTCTCTAGAACATTTTGACGTTTTTCTCCGTAATTCCAAACAAGCTCTGTATTAGGTACAATATCATTTGTCGCCTTAAAAAAAACTCGAGGACCATCATTAGTTGCGAGAATAATATGTTTTAAATTTGGATCACAAGAATGATTTAACAGACGTCCCTTATATTCTGTTTCTTGTGTTGCATCAATAAAATATTTTTTCTCTTTAAACACAAAATGTAGCACGTAACAGCCTAAGGACTGTTCAGCATACTTCTCTTCTCGCATTTCCATTTCTTTTGAGTCTGATATTAGTTCACCAATATATTCGAGTACAATTTCATTTTTTTTAATAAAATCTTTATTAAAAACTCCTCTATTCTTTCCCAGAACATAGCGGACTTCAAATCGATTTTCATCTAGATATTCTAAATGATTAGTCTCCAATTTAACTACGGCACTTCGAAGAAACATGATTTATAATTGCTGAAATTAAAAACGCATTTTGTGTTAACATGCAATAATTTACAATTTAGTTAAACAAATAAGAAAAGTTTTGTAACGAAAAATGTTTTAATTAAATTTCATTTATCATATGTTCTGTCATAATAAAATATTGGTTTTTGTGCTGAAAAGCTGTTAAGAGAGACTTCAAATCTTGAAACTTTTATTTACCCGACTCTAAAACATGATATCGCATACAGTTGCAAAAACTCAACTACGGTAACATGTGTTTTGTTTATTTATTATACTTAAACGTGAAAATAAAAAATTAATTCACGATATAATTCCTTTATACTTTTATAAATTTTTGATAGCTTAGTCCACTGTAAAAAAATTGTTATTTTGAGCAAAGTTTTTGAAAATTAAGAACAAAATTTAATTTTTCTTATTTTTTTATTTTACTTTTTTATTATAAAGCTAAGATTATTCCTACAAAACACATAATAAAAAACCTGAAAATTGTGTTTTATAAAGGTCTAAAAACTTTAATTTTAACTGATTATTTAAATTCTTTAAATTAAAGTTTATAAAATTTAGAAGTCGAGTCCAATTTTCAAATTGTTATTTGTTTATTTTAAATTGTTTGAACAATTTAAGTTGAAAAAACAAGGTAAAAATTTTTAAAAGTCCGCCATTTTGTTATTTTTTATCAAAAATAATTTATTGTAAGTAGTCCAGACGATAGCGACAAGCTTACTTTTCAAGAAAATTTTTCAAGGCCCTGAATTTTGGAAATCATGTCCGCCAATCACAAATAGGCGTAGTTTCAAGTGGCCATATTAGTAAAATAATCTATACCTAATAAAATAGGAATAAAATTTTTTTTAATAGTTTAAAACCCCTTCTTTTATGTATAAAAAGTTTGAAGTAAATAAAATAAATTTTCTAATAAAAAAAATGTTTGAGAAAAGTCGTTGAGACATGGTACTAACCCCTTAAGCAAAAATTGTATTATTTAAGTTTAAAAATTAATTAATTTAAATTAGATATATTCTGAAACATGTTGCAAACTTTTCTTATCATTGCCAGCTATGTTTTAAAGAGAAAAAGAAAATTTTTTTAAATTCCCAAATTGAAAAAAGTTAATTTTTGTATAAAAAATAATGATTTTTTAAAAAGAAATTCAAAAAATTTGTTTTTCGTTAACTTTATTTAAAAGTCGAAGAAAAGCTGAACTTTTTTTGACTTGAAATTTTTCTAAAATCAATAATTTTTGAGTTATAGGTCATTCAAAATGGGGTGCCGAGAAAAAGATGCTTCGCAGAGGGCACAGGGACGTTGGTCGTCGTTAAGACATCCTTAGGATGTACGGAGAGAAATTTCTAGGAATATTTACCGTGCTGCCACCTGAATCTGAGTGCAAAGTGAATTCTGGCAGTTTTTATTGTGCTGACCATATAATCAGTAATGCAAAATTGTAGAGGCAGCACAGTAAAAATTGTCAGAATTCACTTTGCACTCACATTCAGGTGGCAGCACGGTAAATATTCCTAGAAATTTCTCTCCGTGTGCCTATGTCCGTTCGAAGGACGTCCTAAAGACATATTACGTCTTACAGACGTCGTTAAGACATAAGATGTTCTTAGGACGTCTTTTGAACGGACATAGGTGTCCTAAGAATGTCTTAAGGACGACCAACGTCCCCGTGCCCATTGGGTTTATGACCAAAAACTTCGTTTTTATCATCATGACGGTTTCTTATAGTTTAAGGCATAAAAACACAATACAATCATTCCCAGGGAATTAAATTTTTTTTTTGCAACAACTATTTAAGGGTAGGTCCAAGAGAGGCAACGCCATCTGCATCGGAACTGAAATTTAATAAAAATTTTAACAGTACTTACTCGAAAACAAGAAAGTAAAATGCTTTTTCCTTTATGGATAATTGATTATTGGCAAGAAATATATCAGCTAAAACTTTTTTTGAATTGAAAAAAAGAAAAAATTTATCATTGATAACTTAAATATTTTTCACAAAAACTGTAACAGTACTTTCTTGGAAATGACAAACAATCAAGCAATTGCTATTTGGAAAACTAATCAATAGTAAAAAACACATCAGCTATAAAACTCACCAATCACGAAAGTACAACAAAAACTTTTTTTATAATATAACATGCCGACACTGTTTTACTGATTGTGAAGGCCTAAGCAGAACTAATTCTTGAACGGGAACGCAAACGGAATGGAACGAGTAAGAGAAGGATAGACATAATCTTTGTCCTTCTCTTACTCATTCCATTCCGTTTGCGTTCCCATTCAAGAATTAGTTCTGCTTAGGCCTTGACAGTCATGTTGTATGATATGTATATATGTCGTAGGCAAATAGAAGAATCAGGCATTAAGCTTAATTATCCATAAAGAAAAAAGCATTTTACTTTCTTGTTTTCAAGTAAGTACTGTTAAAAAATTTACTAAATTTTACTTCCGATTTAGATGGCGCTGCTTCACTTATATCTACCCTTAAATAAATTTTTTAAAAAAATTTCCTTTGGGTAACTTCAGCGAAAGTCATCTAGAGCTGGTTGTTCTATGATTATCAAAGTGCCTGAAATCAATATATAATGTTTAGGATACAATTTGATTATCATTTGGAGTTTTTTCAGTGACAAATATGTTTTAGTTTTTTTTTTAAATCGTTTTAAAAAAAGTCAATAGATTATAAGGTTATGAATAGTCCATTTTACAACGATATATAAAAATTCGTTGTAAATTAGAAAAAGTTTATAATATATATAAAGTACCAACCAGTAGTATCAGGACGGCCTTATTTTCACGAGTAAAAAAAAGCTTTTAACGCAGAAAATAAAAAAAACAAAAATCTCTCCTATCTTTCTTCTAAAAATTGATAAAATTATAAAAAGAATAACACCTGATTGAAGACGTTTTGTTAAGTTTTCTGTGATATATATATATTTAAAAATGGGCGTTTTTTGAGGTTTTAATATATTTTTCATTTCTCCGAAAATAATAGGGGAGACTGGGGTAAACCGGCCATGTTTTCAGTTGTAAGGCTGTAGTAACTAAAGAAACTAATGAAAAACCTTTTATAATAGCCTGTTGGAAAGGTCATCTAATTGCGCAACTTTTTCCCAGAGAAACATGTACCTTAAAATGTATTGTTTAGTTGATGCATCAATTTTAAAAAAATTTACAAACTGGACGGTTTGCCCCACCCCTGAGGTAATCTGAAATTGGCGGCTTTGCCCGACAGGTTTATTTTGACAATTAACATATGTATAAGAAAAATGCTTCGTCAAATCATTAAGTAATATAGCGATAAATTTAACTGAGGTATGCACCTTTCAAGCCTAAGAAACAGTTTCATTCAATATTACACAATTTTCTCACAAATTCCTTATGAACAGTTCCGCAAAAGTTACTAGCGGAATCGAAAAAACAAACTATTGTTTATAAAATTGCACAAACACAATTAAAAAATGTCAAACTCAGGAAATAAGGTATTCTTAATATAATCTTTTCTAATTTCTAAGTCACATATTTTAAAGTTTAACCAATTCAGAGAAATTGACACCTGTACGGTTTACTCCAGTCTCCCCTAAACCTCTTTTAATGTTCTTAGACTTATTTTAATCGATATTTAACGTAGAATTTAAATTATGAACTAGAATATTCACAGATATTTTTCCAAACAAATTTGAAAGAGTGAAAATGGCACAAAAAAATTTCAAAAAAATATGAAATCTCTTTTTCAACAAAAAAATAATTTTTAAAAATCAAATAAATAAATGATAAAGAAGCTTTTTTGAATCTTAATGTATCTATTAAATCTACAGATTTTACGCAGCCATTTTTGACACTTTAATATTTTTGATAATTTTTTGAATATTTTTGAGCCCACTTTCACGCTTCCAAATTTTTTTGGAAAAATATCTGTTAAAATTCTAGTGCATAATTTAAATTCTACGTTAAATATCGATTGAAATAAGTCCAAAAACATTAAAAAAGGTTTATTATTTTTAGAGAAATTCACGCAAAAAAAAATTTTAGTAAATCTCACTATATCACACATTAATTAAGTGAACTTTACTTGACGTCTTAAAAGTAACACAATTCATTGATTTCAGACTTACTATTCGTTAAGCACATCTGACAAACTTCTAGTTAACTAAACCATTTGATTAGAAAGTCAAAGAGCGAGAACATTTTTTTGCAATTGTCACTCAGCTTGTAGTGACATCAACTAAAATCTTTTCTAAGTGACTGTAAAGGTAAAAAGGATTATAATGTAATGAAAATACTGAAAATATGCGAAAAAATCAAATTTACACATTTTTACTAAACCGCTTATAACTTTGATATTTTTCAATCGAATTTGTTGAATAACCGCTCATTTTCATCGTAACAAATTAGACTTTAATGACTAATAATTAATCAGGCCATGAACAATTTTATTTTAGCGCAATCACTAATAGAGTCCAGCCTTTATTCCAAATTTATGTAAATTTGAAGCAAAATTTTTGATATATTCATTTTTATAGTTTAAGGGGATGATCGGATTGAAAAATACTGTACAGATGGTTGATCGAAAATTTAATTGGGGTAAGTCCGGGAGAGATGGCCATGTTTTTTTTAAGGCTTGTAAAAATAAAACGAAAGAGAATTATGTATTAAACGCTATTTATAATTAAACATTGAACATTAAACTGTCAAAAAAAATTGGAAATAGAGATTATTTTAATTTAAACAATTTTAAAATGAATGTGTTTAAAAAAGTGTTTTTGGACATCTCTCCCGGAATGTCTGGGAGAGATGGCCACCACTTAAAAATTGCATTTGGCCTTCTGCTTTATTGTTTAAAATGGTTTTTTTGTATTTACTCTTCTTCTGACCAAACTTTAAACATTCATCGTTGAGTACAGTGCAACTCTCATGAAGCCAACGATGACAATCGCATACACTTAATATCCAGTCTGCAGTAAGAGTTGTTTGATTGTAATTTTTTCCGCAATTAACACAAAAGTCTTCTCTACTGACGTTTTCTCAAGTTATTATTATGTTATTATTATTATTACTATCCAGAAGTAATACAAATGTACCATAACAAATAAGAGCTAATGATCGAAAAATCGTCAAATTCGACGATTTTTCGAAATCACTTCAAGACTTTTTTTTAAGAAAAAAATAATTTTTTGTACGTTAAAAGCAAGGAAAGAACACTGAAAAA